ATAGATGACTGGATCAAGAAGATGTGGTACATATACGCCATGGAATATATGGCGTATATATGGAATATATGGAATATATGGCAAACTAGCTGACCCAAAACCTGAAGGCGTGACCAGTTGGGGGCCATCAGCTAATTGTTCTCACATGTGGACAGTAATTCTTCTCAAAAGGAGTTGTTAGTAGCCCATTCCTTTCCCATACTCATACTCATATATTTAATCCCTGTGTTTTCCTCTGTTTTCAATCCCTCTCCTTCTCTCTAGAGTTCTGTGAAAATATACAGAAACATTTTTAAATGAGGTTGGGAGGCACAGCAAGTTGGTGGTAGAGTAAAGACTTTGGGCTTGCCTCTTCCACATATTCACAGATAGATTACAACAGAACAAAGCCAACAACTCCTGATCAAAAAAAAAAAAAATAGATTATTATAGTACATACTAGGGGTAAGGCCCTCTGGAGGAGAGCAACCCTACTGAGCAGTGGCATAGGGCAAGCAGGAAGTCACCTGGGCAGGTAAGGTGAGCCCCAGTGGCCCAGGGCCTGGTAAGAAGCAGAATGCAACTGGGAAGACACTTACATGCTAACCCTTGGCAGACCTCAGCAAGCCCTGGGTCAGGACCTGGAAGTAGACCCTATAGAAGGCCTCTGTAGATATTGGCACAGACTCTGCCGAGCTCTGTGGTGGGTCCTGGAAGCAGCTCCACTGGCAGTAACTCTTGGCAGAACTCAGCAAGCCCTGGGACAGGACCTGGAAAACCCACCAAGGTAGGCCCTCAGCAAACTCCATGGAGGAGTTTGTTAAATACATGTATGTATGTGTGTGTGTGTGCGTGTATATATATATATATATATATACGCACACACACACACATATTTGTATGGTAGCTCCATGGTCACCAAACAGTCAGATGCTGTGTACTTTTTACTCTACAATCTTTATCTTGTAGTTTTCAATTTGAAAATGATATCAGAGTCATAACATAGCCACTGTGGCTCCGACCATCTCATCAATGTTCTAGACAGAAGAAAAGATGAAAAGGACAAAAAAAAAAAAAAAGGCCATATATTTACAACTGCTTCAGATCCTTTCAAAGATTCATTCTGGAAGTACCAGTCTCACCCACAGGTTTATGTTTATACCTCATTAACCATTTTTGCTACATGCTGGGAGATACAGTCTTATAAATGGAAATACTACAGTCAATAAAACGGAGGTTTTTCTACACAGGAAAATGAAGAAGATAATAATATGTAAGTAACAAGCAGTCTCTATATACTTTGCTATTAGAATGATATTCTCACAGTTCCTCACCCAAAATAGGTCAGCCTATAATCAAGACTGTTAATTCTGTTCCTTTTGTACTGTCTTCTCTAACTGCCTCATCCAATCCCCCATTCAAGTTTCCAGACATGCCTCCTTTTCTCCAGGAAGTGTGACAACTCCGATCCAGAACCCTCTAAGTGTCTTATTGAAAAGTTATTCAGCTGGTTAATTTTTAACTTTTCATTTATTAGTCCTATACCACCAATGAGAATATGATTATCCAAAGGCAGAGAAAACAAATTGTTATTATCTCTCAAATCAACAACACAGCATTAGTCACAATATTTGATGCTGCAAGAACTCATACTAGATTGATTATAAAGTATTTTTACTACATAAGTTTGTATCATTTTTCCTTTACATTGCACTCAAATAACATTTTCTTTAATTTTATTCAGAGTCCTATGAAGTCTTCTGACTGCTTATTCCCATTCACTTAGCATTTCATCTCACCCAGGGACTTTGTACAGTACTTAACCTGGAGCTTACACAGTATACACACCCTCTATCCAAGCAGATGCCCTAATCAGACATCAATTTCTATCCTACCTTCAGGCAGGAGAAATAGAAGATGCCCTCTTTTGCCAAACACTGATAGCTGCCTACCTGCATCTTTTTCTTTCCCCACTAAAAGAACCCGGGTTTATGGCAGAGAAGGATTGCAAAGCAATGCTGTTCCCCAGCTAATAAAAACTTCTTTCTCAACCCCTGTCCAGTCACAGGTGGTGATGTGAGACAAACGTGGCCAATAAGAGAAGTAGGTATGCATGTGAAACAGTCTAACCAGTGAGATGGGTAGGTAGCCACGTGACACAGTCCCAGCCATCAGTAGAAATTAGATGACGCAGTTAAGAAATTAGATGATGCAGTTAAGAATTTAGATGATGCAGTTAAGAAAGCCCTTTTAATTCCTCAGGCATTTTTATCCTTCACTCTTCCCCACCTCCTCTACTGGAACACAGACAACAGTGGTGGTGGATCAACTATCTTAGAACTATGAAAACAAGCAAGAAGACCTAACAACACCTCAAGAATGGCTAAACATAAACAATTGGTCTCCATGATAAGTGGAGCCACAGTCCAATACTTGCTACCTTCTGATTTCATTTTATGTGAGAAAAATGAACCCCCTCACAATATTTAGCAACTATTGCTAAAGCACCTATAATCCTTAAAACACAACTTTAAGGGCCTCCCTGGTGGTGCAGGTGGTTGAGCACAGCACTGTGAAGCTGTCCACAGCCTCTGCAGTGCCGGTTTGATCCCCGCCGGCCTCGGAGCAACCCACATGGCGAGCAGACCTCTCCTGTCTCACTTGCTGTTCCCCTCATCAGTGTATTTCATCATTCTGCCTGTTCTGCTCCCCGCTCTGTCTCTGGGGAATCCTCTCACTCTCCCGCGCATCTGGCCTGTACCCCAGCTCTTGTATAAATAAAATAAGTCTTTAAAAATAAATTAATTAATTAATTAAAAAAACACAACTTTAAGCAAGAAGTCACTTTCATATTTTGGCAGTCTCCTAACACTTTAAAAGTTTCAACCACTATCCAAAATAGAGTATTCTTATGAAACATTTTGTAAACAATTGACAGGAAGTGAAGAAGCAATCACCAGTAATTTAATACAAAGATTTGTGATATTCCCAGACCCCAAAAATAACCTACCAAATAACACATAAAACCTAAAATCACACTCACATACAGTAAAAGCAGGAATTATATGGTATGTAGACAGTATAAAGTGGTTCCCAAGGCAGGAGGCTCTCTTACCGTCTCTAAGAAGGCTGATGAAAAACCAATGTTGTACCTACTTGAACTTTTTTTATCTTTTGTCAAAAAAGCACAAATCCTCTTGAAATTATTTTCAGTTATTGAAAATAGATACTACTGTAGTTCTAATTGTTACTAATATAAAAGCAAAGTTGCAACAAAAACTGGAAAAACAGGAGATGCCCATATTTTATATTCACTCTCAGAGCTCTACTCCTTTAATTGGAATTTGTGACTATGTTGGGTGCTGTGCTGCTGCTGCTGCTGCCAGACTTCCTCTACTCCCTTCAATTTGGCATATTGGACAAGTTTTCATCAGCAGCAGTACCCAGTAGCTCAACAATTGAGCATTTCATAAAATCTTCAAATAAAGAGAAAAGTAACCCATGTATCTTTCAGAATGTAATGATGAGAAAGCTACTAAGAAAAAGATGCCTTCTCAGTTACTTTCTGTTTACCAAAATACATATTTTTAACCTCAGTATGATGTTTTGAAAAGGGCTCTCTTTCATTACATGATAGTTATTCTAATTCTGATATATTCAGAATACAGCATGTCTTTCAACCTCACTAAATTCTGAGAAATATTTTTTTGATTTTTAAAAAATATTTAAATATTGTAAGTAGGTACTAAAAAGACAGTACTGATGCTTCAACAATCAGAAAAATTCATCTCTTCCTTTAATAAGATTCCTGATCATACCTGACAAAGTGACGTATCAGTGGTCTCTATTTGCCCAGCACTGAGGGGTTGTCAGAATGCAGAAATGCAGTGTTATAAACAGCTGAATCATTCTATAGTTATGTGCACCTCTAAGGCCAAGGTGTAGCCAAGGGCTTAGAAATGCAAGGGGTGGGGCCTCCCCAGTGGCTCAGTGGTTGAGTGCTGGGCTGCGAAGCTGCCTGCAGCCTCTGCAGCGCCGGTTCAATCCCCAGCTGGTGGCGAGGGTCCCACATGGCACGCAGACCTCTCCTGCAGTGCCCACTGCTCCCCTCAGCAGTGTATTTCATCAGTCTGCCTGTTCTGCTCCCCGCTCTGGCTCTGGTGAATTCTCTTACCCTCCCGCACTTCTGAGTATACCCAGTGCTTGTATAAATAAATAAATCAATCTTAAAAAAAAAAAAAGAAATTGTTTAAAAAAAAAATCTATTAAAAAAAAAAAAAAGGGCCTCCCCTGGTGGCGCAGCGGTTGAGCTGGGTTGCGAAGCTGCCCGCAGCCTCTGCAGCGCCGGTTCGATCCCCGGCTGCTCCCCGGCCTCCGGAGGAGGGTCCCACATGGCGCTTGGACCTCTCTTGCCACCCGCTGCTCCCTCAGCAGTGTACTTTGGTCCTTCTGCCTGCTCTGCTCCCCTGCTCTGCTCCCCGTTCTGGCTCTGGTGAATTCTCTCGCCCTCCCACGCTTCTGACTGTACCCAGTGCTTGTATAAATAAATAAATAAATCTTGAAAAAAAGAAAGAAAGAAAAAAAGAAAGAAAGAAATGCAAGGGGTGGAGGTTCCTAGGAGAGTAGGACAGAGTTGAAGATAAGAGGAAAACCAGGTAACCTCTGGTCATTGGTCATAGGTTGGTTGTCAGTAAGCTCTCATGTTCTTGCACAAAACTCCAAGAAACGTAAAACTTCTAAGCATGAACCTGATTTTTCTGCTTTGTTGGGTATGAGTTAGCATACAAACAACAAAAAATGAAGGGCTGGTTCTATGGTTATCTTCTAACCTCAAGATGCCTGAGGATTTGTCCCTTGGCCGATATCACTCTAGGGAGAATGCTTACACTGGATCCTAGATTAATGAGAATCCTGCAGAATATGGTGTAGCATTCCTAGCACCAGTACCTTGTTATTTAAACTTTTTGAGAATGGAGAAATCAATGTTCATAAGCTACAGTAGCAGCAAATATGCTACTCACCTCTTGAGGTCCCTGAGTATGTCCTGGAATGCAGGCTCTAAGCTCCTTTTATATTTGCTTAGAGGAAGTTTCAGGAAGAGGGCTCCTGAGCTCCATGCCTGTAAAGGAGTGAAGATAAAGTAATTAGAGGGAGAAAATAAATTGAAATTTAATTGCAAAAGAGGTCTTAACTGATATTCTAGGAATGAGGGGATCCTTCAGAGCAGGTCCATATGGGGATGATTCCTGAAGATAATTAACTATAAAACCTCACCAGTCAACATCCCTGGATCAAACTGGGACTGGGAGAAATAAGTGTCTCGGTTCTGAAGTGTGAATCTACCACAGGGTACCTATGATTAGCTAATTATAAATGGAATTATAAATTTTATCTTATGGGTTTCTGTAACTGAGATGGTCCCTAATTGCCTAACAAAGTTTCCTATGATGACACACATCACACTTAGTTGCTCCCTGTCCTTGACATCTGTAAAGTCCTTTGGGACTTGGGAACTTGGATATGGCTCAACCCAAGGCCACTGCTGCTCATACACCAGCAAAATCACCAATGAATTCCATTTGTACTCACCCCAACCCCAGAGGAGCTAGTGACAGTGATGGGTTAGACAAAGAACATACACTATGGAGACCTATGTCTCTGTGGAGATTATAAAGAGAGGATCATATGCTTAAAGATTTCTTGTTTTTTAAAGATTTATTTATTTTTATACAAGAGCTGGTGTACAGGCCAGAGGCATGGGAGGGTGAGCGGATTCACAGGAGACAGAGTGGGGAGGAGAACAAGCAGACGACCAAAATACACTGGTGAGGGGAGCAGCGGGCATGACAGGAGAGATCTGCCATGCCATGTGGGAATCTCCCTGGCCAGCTGGGAATTGAATCCATGCTGCAGAGGCTGTGGACAGCTTCACAGCGCTGCACTCAACATGCTGTTCCACCGGGGAGGCCCTTAAAGATTTCTTAAACAGGTCACATTGACCTGTTTAAGGCTTTAAACAGATCTTATTGACCATATAAGAAAAGGTGGCTAAATTGGACTTCAGAAGTTCTGTGTTTTAAAAGACACTATTGAGAGAGTAAAAAGGCAAGATATAGTCTAAGGAAGAGATGCATGAAATACATGAATGTGACAAAGAACTCATATTCAAAGTATATAAAGAATGTTTATACATCAATTGGGAAAGGTTATCAAATATTTTTATTTTTTTAAAGATTTATGTATTCATGCATATAAGAACTGGGGTGTTAGTCAGAGGTGAGGGGGCATGGCTGAGAGGATTCACCAGAGAGAGTGGGAAGCAGAACAAGCAGATCTACTGAAATACACTGCTGAGGGGAGCAGCAGATGAGTCAGGAGAGGTCTGGTGTGCCATGTGGGTTGCTCCCTGGCCAGCCAGGGATCAAACTCTTGCTGCAGTGGCTAGCTATAGCTTGATAGCTCTGGTTATAACCCCTGCACCTAACCCTAACCCTCAAATATTTTTAAATGACAAAAATCTTGATCAGAATTTCACTAAAGAGGCTATCTGAATAATCAATTAGCATATGAAAAGTGGTGCAACATTACCAGCCATCACAAAAATGCACTTAGAGGCATGATGAACCAATATACTCTACCAGAATGGTTAAAACTAACCAGCTGGTACTAAGTGTTGACTAGGATATGATCTCATACACTGAGTAGAGCTCTCAGGTGCTGCTGGTGGGTGTGTAAGTTGGTACAACCACTACTGATAAACTATGTGCTGTTATCTATAGAAGTTAATCATCTCCATATTCTTTGGTTCATTAATTCTACTCCTAGGCATATTCCTATCAGATTATCCATAGTCATATTAATTATATAATCAAAAACTAGAACCAAATATCCTTTACAAGAAGGATGGATAAATAAACTCTAGTATGTCCACCCAGTGGAATACCACATAGTAAACACAAACAGCTGCTGCTAGAAGCAACAACATGGATTGCTCTCATAGACACTCCATTGAATAGAAGAAGCTAGACACAAAAGAATGCATGTTTTACAATTGTGTTAATGTGAGATTCAAACACAGGCACACTTTGTCTATGGTAAGGGGGCCCATTATCTGGTATGCGAACTTTTTCTAAATCACTTTGGCTTCTAAGAAAAAAGCATTGGCTTATAAGGGGCATCAGAGCATGCAAGGAGGGAGCACATTCATGAGACTATGGAGCCAAAAGCAATGGCAGGAAAGGCTACTAGTTGCAGACTGCTAGCAAGGACCAGAAGAAGCTATTTGTCTTCCATTTGCCATTGTAGACCCCTCTCCATCCTTGTCACAGAGTCCAACAGAGAGCAGCTGTGTGGACACCTTCAATAAGCACCCTTGCCCTCTGACTACTGGTTGGCTCAGCAGACCAGAGGACAGGAGGAGTATGAGATAGGTGCTGATTTCCCAACTCCCTCCTGATCTGTTGCCACAGGTCAGCTGAAGGGCACAGGCCTTTCCTACAACTACACAATCAACCCTTTCTTATTGTTACATAACCTAGGTCCCAGTCACTGTTCCCTCTCTTGTCCCTCAGACTTACCTACACCTTTGTGATGATTTTCGTCATTTAATTCCCCCAATTGAATAACTATAAGAAAGTGAAAATCAAAATCAACAAAAAACTATGAACCAGAGACACTTTTTGGGGGTGGGGGGCGGGAGGGGAGGGACTGGGGTCAGAATGGGGGGGTTGCAATTATACGGGGAATATAAAAATAAAATTTATTATTTAAAAAATAAAAAAATAAAGTTTATCAGTTAATAAATAAATAAATAAATAAATAATTCCCCCAATTATCCCATCTAAGTGTGCCATTTCTTGCTGAGTATGATTACCTTGCAATATCAAATCATACTATAAATGGAGGCCTCAGGGTCAAGAAAATGACAACACATATCCTACATGCCCCTTATAAAACTAGGAAGTTTCAAGTGTACTTTCAAAGGATTGCCATCCAAAATGGAAGTGCCACATTTGAAGGGGCAAAGCTCATTTATCTGGAATATTTGCTTCTATGCCACAATTCATTCTAAGACAAGGCCAAATAAATAAGTCTATCTATACTTTTTAAAGGTCTCAATTTCTCTTCAATGGCACTTGTCACAGTTGAAAATAATTATCAATTATTTGTATTTTTTACATCCATCTTTCTTATTAAACTCTAGGCTCTGTGAAGACAATCCACAGAAAGTGCCCATGAAGAGGTTACTCTTGCTTCTCTCTGAATCTCTAAGACCTAGAACAACTGCTGGAGTTAGAATTCAATGAATAAATCGTGTTGAAGTACGTAACTAAAGGAGGGAGGATAAGAGGAAAGAAACTGGGATTTAGAATTGGATGACAAGGTTGGGGATCCCAGCACTCAATGACCATTACCCATGTGTTCATGTTTAGCTAGCTTCTCGGGACTTCCATTTCAAATGTACATAAAATTAGGATAACAATTCTTCCCCTAGTTAATATTTGTAAATACCAAATGAGATAGTACTAATAAAAGTAAATGAAGCAATAAATGCAGCAATCATCAAATATGGGGTATCATTATAATAAAAGCAGCATCAGTAAGATGGGGCTGGGCCTGGGTTTTATGCATCATACATCAACTTTCACAGAACATAGAAAGATATTATGATTTTATAGTTTTCATTTTTTTTTTTTTTAAAGATTTATTTTTTATTTATTTATACAAGCATTGGGTACAGTCCAAAGCGCGGGAGGGTGAGAGAATTCACCAGAGCCAGAGCGGGGAACAGAACAGGCAGAAGGACCGAAGTACACTGCTGAGGGGAGCAGCGGGCGGCAGGAGAGGTCTGCGCGCCATGTGGGACCCTCCTCCGGTGGCCGGGGAGCAGCCGGGGATTGAACCAGCGCTGCAGAGGCTGCAGGCAGCTTCCCAACCCAGCGCTCAACCGCTGCGCCACCGGGGAGGCCCTATAGTTTTCATTTAAGAATAATTTGACTCAAGGTGCTATAAGCCTTGGTTTCTGGTAATGTGCACCTAGGTGTTAAGGATTTCAGATGCTGCGTATGAAACATTACTAGATGACATGAGCCTTATTCTCTCTGGCTCCTGAAGCAATAAAGTGCAGTAGAAACCCACAGACACAAGCATTTCAGCAGCTTCAGAAGTATGGCTCATAGTTAGCCAACCTTAACTCCATCAAATCCAATACTCCACTGGTGGAGGGCTGTGAAACAAGGGTGCAGAGGAATTGAAGAATCTGAGAGGCAGGGGGCTGACAAAAGCAGAGGATTATTCCAATTTCAGAGTTAAATCTCTTTTGAGGGACTCTGAAATTAAAAGTCTTGAGACTGTATGTCATTTCTAAAAATCTTGATTTTAGATAAACTTTTTTATTGTAATTAATTTTTTATATTTTAATTTATATAATTCTTACATAATTTTTCATTTTTGCACAATGTATGCATTTTCATTTTGGTTATATTCCCCATATAATTTCCACCTCCCTTATTCTGACCCTAATCTCTCCTCTCCTCCCTCACCCCTGTAGTATGTCTCTGGTTTATAGTTGCTTGTTGATTTGATTTTTTCTTTATTATATATAGTCTTTTTCCTGGTCCCTTATTTAGGTTTTCTAAATTCCTGCTATGAGTGAGACCATCAGTATTTTTATTTTTCTTTCTGGCTTATTTCACTGAGCATGGTCCCTTCCAGTTCCATCCATGTTGCTGCAAATTGAAAAAATGGGCAGAAGAGCTAAAAAGAAACTTCTCCGAACAGGAAATGCAAATGACCAACAGGCATATGAAAAAATGTTCAACATCACTTGTAATTAGGGAAATGCAAATCAAAACTACAATGAGATACCAATTTACACCAGTGAGAATGGCACATATTAAAAAAACTAGCAACAACATGTTGGCGAGGATGTGGAGAAAAAGGAACTCCCTGCATTGCTGGTGGGAGTGCAAAATGGTCCAACCACTATGGAAAGCTGTGTGGAGATTCCTCAACCTACTAAAGATAGGGCTTCCATATGATCCAGCAATTCCACTCCTAGGTATTTACCCAAAGGACACAGAAACATCAATTCCAAAGAGCACCTGCACCCCTAGGTTTATAGCAGCACTATTTACAATAGCTAAGCTATGGAAACAACCCAAATGCCCAAAAATGGATGACTGGATCAATAAGATGTGGTACATATACACCATGGAATTTTACTCAACAATCGAAAAAGATTTTAGGGCCTCCCCTGGTGGCGCAGCGGTTGAGCGCTGGGCTGTGAGGCTGCCCGCAGCCTCTGTGGTGCCGGTTCGTTCCCCGGCCACCGGCAAGGGTCCCACACACACACAAACACACACACACACACAAAAGAAAATATTTTAGATAAACTCTTAAATATATATTTCATAACTGCATTAGGGTCTCCAGAGAAAATAAGAGAGAGAAAGAGACAGAGAGAGCGCGTGTGCAAGAGCACGCGCACTATTTGAAGAAACTGACTTGTGCAATTATGGAGGCTGGCAAGTCCAAAATATGCAGAGTGGGCTGGTAGGCTGGAGACCAGAAAGAGCCAAATTATAGCTCAAACTATGTACATGCTCCATGCCACTGCCCCTTTTTTTTTTTTTTTTTTTAAGATTTATTTATTTATTTATACAAGCACTGGGTACAGTCAGAAGCACAGGAGGGTGAGAGAATTCACCAGAGCCAGAGCGGGGAACAGAACAGGCAGACTGACGAAATACACTGCTGAGGGGAGCAGTGGGCGCAGCAGGAGAGGTCTGCCGCGCCATGTGGGACCCTCGCTGGTGGCCGGGGATTGAATCAGCGCTGCAGAGGCTGCAGGCAGCTTCGCAGCCCAGCGCTCAACCGCTGCGCCACCAGGGGAGGCCCGCCACTGCATCTTTTCTAAGGTTAAATGGTCTGCTGGAATGTTGTTTCTTCTTCCGCTTGTTACTGATCATCAAGGATCTCAAATACTATTTTTAATGAAGTTGCCCTTAATGCCACACATAGTTCCTTCATTCCCTTTTTCTATTCAGAATTAATTACTTCCAATTATGGGTTTCCAGGCACTGTTCATAATTTCCTGTTCATAGATCTACACATAATCCGACTTATTTTATAGTTTGCTGTGTACATGTCTTTCTCACTTTCCATTCTCAAAAAAATAACATAGACTTTCTGAAAATAGGGACTAGGGTTTCCATTTTTAAAAAATCATCTCAGTAGATAACACATTATCTAATTTAAGACATACATTTATTTAGGTTTGTTTATGCATTTGTCATACAATAGAGACATTTATTTGTCATGCACTTGATATATTTATTTGGCACCAACTTGAGGCTAGGCACTATACTAATTTTAGCTGCAATTTCTCTAACACTTACAAAGACCTAAGAGTTAGCTATTACTCCTGTTCTACAGATGAAGAAACTGAGGTTCAAAGAGGTTATCTGATTTTCCTTAGGCTAGATAGTAGCCTAATTTTAGTCCAAATATATCTGACTCTATCAAAAATTTTGAACAATCAAATGCTTTATTCATGATGAGCCCAGTGCATCTCTAAAACAAAAGAAAGTACATGCCCAAGAAAGGCATTTGCTATTTATTACTTTACTGTACAATCTTGGGGGATGAAAATAATCATTCTCCCTCCCTTGCCAAAACAAGCACAAACAAATGGACGCAATCTTGCTTTAAAAATCACTCTAAAAGATAAAATATTACATTTTCTTATTTCACATTATTGAATAGGAAATGTTTTATGGATTAATGAAATTGAGGGATGAGTAGCTACTAATCTAGCCATAAAAGCAGACCTTCTGCATCATAAAACATATTTTATTTATCTTGACAGTTTTAGTTTAATTTTAAGTATTTATGATATTGCTTCATAGTAAATATATCTAATTCATGAAAGCTAGGTAATATGAGACCCAACTTTGGAAATTTGCTCAAGTTTTTGCCATTAAAGCTATGTATAAATGGATTTTTGTGCCAAGAAGTATGTGTTTTATATAATGACATAAAAATCGTCCACATTCCATTCTTCTATAAAGATACTACTTCCATGACTACTGCTATTACCAAGACAACAATGCTTGATTTTTGTGGAAGTAAATTGAATAGCATATCCTTTATCATGTAACATTTGAACTGAATATGAAAAATACCACAATGGGGAGTCATCATAGTAAAAAAAAAAAAAAAAAAATTACCAGATGAACTTACTTTAAAAAAAAAATCATGTGGTATAATTTTGTAACCTGAAGAATTACACATTCTTATGTCAATGATGTTTTTACTTTTAAAAGAAATAGCTGGTGCTTATAGAAAATTCTTTTTTGATATTATACATCTTCCTTATGTTTGGGGCTAGGGAAAGAGCAATGGGATTTTAAGTGATTTAAATCTTAATAAAGACCACAGCTCTGACTCTACCACCAGCTGTGAGGGGATCTGGTCTCTAGTTCCAATGTTCTGTGACATATGTTACAAAAGAAAGCAGAGCACATAACCTTTGGCATCCCTGAAAATCCTCACATGAAAGATTTGGCTGTGATTTAGGGAAACACAGCAAGGAGCCATCAAGGGGGTTCTGACCATGCTCATA